TCGGTTAATCGGCCGACGTCAGCTCAGGTCATGATCTCACGGTTCGTGAGTTCGAGCCCCGCGTTGTGCTCTGTGCTGACAGCTCAGAGCCCGGAGCCTGCTTTGGATTCTGTGTCTCCCTCTCTCTGCCCCTCCCCTGCTCGCGCTCTGTCTCTCAAAACTGAATAAAAGTTAAAAAAAATAAACAAAATGTAAAGGGATCAAAGGGTGTCAGGGATCTCTGACACTATTTACTGTCCTCACTTGCTTCTGGCTGGTGAGCTGCATCTCTCTCTCCGTAATCTCGCGGCGGAGATGGTCCACTTCGCTTCGTAGCTGTACTATCTCATCGTTGGCGCCAGAAGCCTCGTCGAGTTGTTTGGACAAGTAGAAATTTTGGTTGTTGAGCTCAGCGTTGTCCTCGGTCAGCTGGTTTAGCTGCTCCTCCAGGTCTGTGATTACCTAAAAGAGGAGAGGAATCCAGTTCTGCATCAAGCAAGTGGATTTAAAATGAGAAGCTGCTTCTAGAGCCAATGACTTTAGAGCCTACGTGACACTGGCGGTCCACGGGCCACTCCTGTTTGCTTCTCCAGCCCTGGCAGCCAAGGCCACGCCCGCCCACTTAGCACTGACACACACGTGCCGTGGGGGAAAACAAAAAGTCTCTGATTCTTTCTAACTCAGGATCCATCTGGAAGATGTGGCTAAAGTGAATCAAGCAAGAGTGACTGCCGTATGGAAGGGGCTAAACTTTAAATGAGATCAGGTTCACGGACAATAATACGATGTGGAACATGTGAGCCGAGGAAAGGCATCTAACAGACTGGTATCACAGTCAGCTAATTGAACTACAATGGCCCCGGCACCATCCACAGGACACTGGAACCGGAGATAGTCTGAGAAAGCAAAATAAGTTCTTATCAAGGAGGACTGACCCCGGAGGACACCAAGAGTTATTTTAATATCTCGGCAATAAATTTAATTTCATGCAACAAAAGAAAAAAAATTTAAGGGAAGCTCAGAATAATCCTGAAAATAGTGTACTGTGGCATCACTTGAATGGTTTTTATTATACAGTTAGCTATCAGAAAATGGGAAGGCATGTATATGAAATTGTCCTTTTATTGAGAGATTTAATCTGGCTTTGCTAAGTTATTTCCCTGCTCGATGGCAGAATGACTTCGAGTTCAGTGCATTCAGCGTTTCCTATTCTCTTTCCTGAGGTTCAGTATCAGCACTTGCAGAGCTTTTATATCCAATACTTTCAAAGTTTAAGGGCAATTTTCTAATAATGGTTGGGATGAGGCACAGAGGCAGTAAATTAAATTTTACGTAACAAAAAGAAGTAAATTAAAAGGAAATGCCTTGAAGCCTACGGTTTATTAATTGTTTCCAATTTTCAAACCTAGAGTAGACTTAGTTTATGAAATGTTGCCACTGTTTCCATGACTAATTCCCTATTTTAACCCCCTTTGATTATCAATTTAAAAAAATCTTCCCAGGCACATAGAATTAAAGAACATCAATTAAGCACATTTGTTCGATGCGGCTCAGAAAACAGAGCTTTTCATTTTGTTAACCGAGCTGATAAGCTTTTAATGTAGTAAGTGGTCTAGTAATTTGTATTTTAATGTCAAAAGCCCTGTTAATTCCTACTGTACTGGTTTGAGGTGCGCTGTCAGCTACAAGACGGGGAATAAAGGTTATCTGGTTGGATCCTTAGCTACAGCTCCTTCTTTATCGGGGGAAGAAAATAGGAAAACACTCCAAGTTTGTCATCCCTAGTAGGCAGTCATGCCTCAAAAGGATCCCTGGATCACCCTTTTGGTGACATGGTTAAATCTCCTAAAACCAGAAACAATGAATAAACAATGCCCAATAGTTCCACTGGCCTCCGTCTTACATGTAGTAAAACCCATTTCTTAAGACAGTTTTCATCCTAGACTGCAAATATCTCCATTTAACTACTGTGCTGCCTTCTTATTTCCCTCCCCTCCCCAAAAAACGGAGGTAAGCCGACCTAAAACTATACTATCAAATGGAGCCTGGAACCACAAATACAGCCATTTTGAACTTTGTGGGGGGGTTGGTGTCTCCATCCATGATACAGAGATCAATACCATATTTACTACCTCCCCGTTTCTATTTTTTTTAATGTTTATTTTTGAGACAGAGAGAGACAGAGCATGAATGGGGGAGGGGCAGAGGGAGAGGGAGACAGAGAATCCAAAGCAGGCTCCAGGCTCTGAGCTGGCAGCACGGAGCCCGATGTGGGACTTGAACTCATAAACCGCGAGATCATGACCTGAGCCAAAGACGGGCGCTTAACCAACTGAGTCACACAAGCACCCCCAATGTTCTGGATTTCTGGCATACTATTCTACCTTACTGTGGCCTACAAAATTCAGGGGATAAAAAGTAATGCCCAAGACAGTGCTTCATTTTAATGATTATAGCAGTGCCTCTTGCAGAGCATAGAGACCCCAGAAAATCTGTCGACACAAGAATATATACGTTGCCCAAATAACTTGCCACTTGAGAACATACCTAAGCCTTTGGGTTCCCACTCCCTTTCTCTGACTTATGGGAAAAACTGCGATTTATTATTAGCCCGTTTCTGCTACCTCTTCTTTCAAAATAGGTTACAAAGTGCTAAAGAAGAAATCTTTGAAAAGCTCAATGAAGGGCCAAGATTATTACTCTCACTTCAGTGGAGACTGCCCATTGGACTAAGAGGCACTCTTCTATTTCCCTATTGTCATCCAGTTTCCAAGGGGCCTCACAACTCTGATTTCTACTTACAGTTTGTGATTGTTGGTTCTATATTTTACTGTCTCTATTTTGCCTGTTCATCAAGCTTTTAATGTTATGGAGTGTTATGTGTTTGTGAAGCACCCAAACACTCATTTTAGCTCACTCAGACTTTTTATATATTCTTTCCGCCTAAGTCACATGTTTAGCTTGAGACTCTATTTTGAGTTCCTGGAATTGTGGCATTAAGTGATAGTATTAGGGGTGCCTGGGTGGCTCAGTCAGTTAAGCATCCGACTTCGGCTCAGGTCACGATCTCAAGGTTCGTGGGTTCGAGCCCCGTGTTGGGCTCTGCACTGACAGTGCAGAGCCTGCTTGGGATGCTCTCTCTCCCCCTCTCTCTCCCTCTCCCACTGATGCACTCTCTTTGTCTCTCTCAAAATAAATACTTAAAAAAACAATTAAAAAGTATTGTAATAGGCAATCTAACCAGGTAATGTGCAATGAGAATTCTTGGGTCTACTATGTGTCCCCGGGTGTATTCTCTCCACACCAAGGGCAACATTATCTGTTTACTATAGTATGAGTCTGTTAACCTTCCAACGCCATGGATACAGGATGAAAAAGAGAAACTGAAGGTTGACTCCACCTTAGCAGTAAGATGAGGGAGACAGCTTCCTCACGCAGGAGCCAGCAAGGCTTTCTTACATGCCTTTTTTTTTGCAAAGAGATCACGGTACAGTTCTAAGAGAAACCAAGGGTATAAAAAATGATCTACTCTCAGTGTCCAAAAAAGAAGACAGAGAGTGGGAGAGAGATATCTCTACGTGGGGTTATCTGTTGCTTTTCAAGCAAATCTCACAGTTCTGAACAAGAACTGTTTACTTCTCACACCTAATGCAAAGACCAGCAGGGAGACCATTAATGTTCAACAGCGTGTCAGGGGTGAAGAAACCAGTCAGATAGTGAGCATCAGTCTAAACAGACACGGGGCTAAAGCCCTCCTGGAATGTCTGGTTCTTTCTTGAAGGCAGCTATTTGCATATTATTTATTTTTAATCTTATAGCTGACAGATTGATTCATAATTAAAACTGTGTCATATGTTTGCCCACCAACTCCCCTCCAAAACAGACTTAGGTAGGGTTTTAGGTGCCAGATTGGATCAAATCCTTTTTAAAAATCTCTTCAAAATATAGAAATGGTCTGAGCTGGAAAATCTTACTGTTCATGAGCTTTTTAAAAGACGCTAACTGGGAGCTCCTATCAGTTCAGTTATTATAGGAGTTCCCATTCAGTAACAAAGATGCCATTTCCTCACAGAGGCAACCTGAGACAGCGCCAGTAAGAAAAGAACATCTATCATGCCCTTCAGAAGTGTCTTTAAAGCAGCTGTTGAACCTGAAAAAGTAGAACAGAGATCTACTATTGCTACCAAGTATTGTCCTAAAACGGTGGTTTTCAAACTTTTTATAGGGGCACAACGTTTCCTGAGCAAAAGATGGTATCGTAAATGCAATATAATAAAATAATAATAGTAACCAATACTGTTTAGCATTTTCTACGGACCAGGACCTGTGTTAGCACCGGGATGCATCATCTAATTCCTGCAGGACCCCCATGAGGTAGGCATTAGCACCAAATTTCTGATTCGGTGACTCAGTGTTTCCTAAGTTCTACTGTTTCTGAAATGTGAACATATGTTGGAACTAAGCAGCTGTCTCTGTCCTTGCCAAGCACCCAAAGAGCAGTTATTAAATGACTTGTGCATCTTATCACTGACAGTATATTGGAATGGAGAATACACAATGTCAGCACCATCTCACAGGTAAAGACATGGAGGCCTGGGAATTTAACATCATATAGGTTACAAAGAGGCCAATTTAGAATATGAACCCAGTCTGCCTGACACCAGACCGCATTGTTTGGATCACTAAACAACCCAGCTTCTCTAGCCTAAGTGTGGGTGGGGGTCACTCTTTTGGGTTCCCCCTCCCACTGGGAGAGAACCCAAAGGCTCCTCCACAGAATGACGGAAGTAAGTAAATCAAGGATTAGAAGTCACTGCTCCAGAAAAAAGCAAATGTGAATAAGACAATATAAAAGCTATGTAAGTTGAGAAAGTAACAAAATTCAGGGTGCCTGAGTAGCTCCGTCGGTTGAGCCTCCAGCTTCAGTTCAGGTCATGATCTCACTCAGCTCATGATCTCACAGTTCATAGGTTTGAGCCCCGGATAGGGTTCTCTGCTGTCAGTACAGAGCCTACTTTGGATCCTCTGTCTTCCTCTCTCTCTGCCCTTCCCATGTTCATGTGTGCTCGCTCTCTCTCTCTCAAGATAGATAAACATTAAAAAAAAAAAAAAAAAAAAAAAAGAAAGTAGCCAAATTCATTCTACATATTGGCATATTCTAGTAAAAAACAAACCTCTAACTTTAAAAATCTAGGAGAGGGAGGCTTACCAAAGGGCACATGGAAACATTGGAGGGTAATGGATACGCTCATTAATTTGATTGTTTCGTTGGTTTCACAGTTGTGTACATATCTCAAAACTCTTGAGGTTACTGTGCTCCTATTATACCTCAATAAAGCTATAAAAATGTTTTTAAAATAAGCTTTGTGAAGATGTGGCATCCATGTGCATGTGTGCATGTGCGCGTGCGCACGCACGCGCACACACACACACACACACACACACACTGGAATATCACTCAGCCATGTATAAAGAATGAGATTATGCTATTTTGTGACAACACAGATGGAGCTAGAGGGGATCATGTTAAGTGAGATAAGTCAGACAGAGATAGACACGTACCACATGATTTCACTTACATGAGGAATCTAAAAAACAAGACAAACAAACAAAAAGCAGAAGCAGACCCATAAGTACAGAGAACTGATGGTTGCCAGAAGGGAGGGTGGTGGAGGGACGGGTAAAATTGGTGAAGGAGAGTGGGAGATACAGACTTCCAGTTATGGAATGAATAAGTCATGGGGATGAAAAGTACAGCATAGGGAATATAGTTGGTATTATAATAGTGTTGTACGGTGACAGATGGTAACTATACTTGTGGTGAGCTGAGCATAATATATAGAGTTGTTGAATCACTATGCTATAGAGCAAAAACTAATGTAATATTGTGTGTCAACTATACTTCAATTAAAAAAAAAACTGTTATGCCAAAAGACTAAAAAAAGAGAAAACTCCAGATGAAGGATTAACGATGTACACATTTAAAACCTATCCAAGCTTATTTTAGGAAAAAATAGTAATATAAAAAAAAATCACGGTCATAAAATGATCTATGTTTTATTCAGTGATCATTTACGAGCATGTATGTAATAAAAGCAAATAACCCTTGCATAAAATAAGAAACTGAGACGGTAAGAAACTTAAAAAAAGTGGCGGCACGAGAGTACAGGAACAGAATGCATCCGCTCCTCAAGGAAGGGAGGCAGAATGGAGGAAGTCGGGGATGCTTTTCGGGCAGGCCCACCCCTGATGCAGCCATCGGCATCGGGAGACACAGACCAAAAATCTATCTGCCGGGTACCTGCTAGAGTCAAACAGAGGCGCATCTCATGACCCACTAGCTGCTCTGCTCTTGGGTATATGCTCATCAGAACAGGTGCCGACAGCCTCCAAGGGACTTACATAACAGTGCTTCTACACAACTGTGTTCCTAATGGCAGTAACCCAAATGACCATCAGCAGGAGAATGGATAAACAAACTTCAGTTCTACGCATCCACTGGCAACGCCACATCATACTAATGAAAGAGAACAAACTCCTGATGGATGCAACGACAGGGATGAACCCCACAGATAACTTAAGACAAAAAAACTAAACCCAAAAGAACACATCCTCTGTGATTCCCTTTGTCTGAAGTTTAAGAACTGGCCAAAGCGATCTCTGGTATCAGAGGACAGAACCGAGGTCACCCTTTGGGGCAAAGGATGATGATAAGAAGAGGGCATGAGGGAGCCTTCTGGGGGTTGAAAATGTTCTGGATCTTGATGCATGTTGTGGTTACATGTTGTCCATATGTGTAAAAATTTCATTGAACTGCACTGCAAGATTAGCGTACTTCATGCACTTTACAGTATGTCTTTTATTTTTTAAACATATTAAATATATATATTTATTTATGTATGTATGTATGTTTGGGAGAGTACAGCAGGGGAGGGGCAGAAAGAGGGGGACAGAGGATCCAAATCGGGCTCTGTGCCAACAGGTTGACAGCAGTGAGCTCAATGTGGGGGCTTGAACTCACAAACCATGAGGTCGTGACCTAAGCCAAAGTCAGATGCTCAACTGACCAAGCTACCCAGGTGCCCTTACAGTATTTTGTAACTAAATGAAGGGGGGAAACCATACACTGACCAGACTTAGCATCCTATTTATAGCAGATAAAGAGGAAAGAAAAAGTTCCATTACAAGGCAATAAAATATGAAAAGAAAGAAAGAAAGAAAGAAAGAAAGAAAGAAAGAAAGAAAGAAAGAAAGTAGGTAGGTATGTGGGGGTGGGGTGGGGTTGGTTTCCAGAAATTCACAGATGTGAATACTACAAATGGAGACAAGTTCACTGAGAACTAAGAAGGTAATAAAGTGATGACAGTACCAAATAAAGGAAGTGGAACCTTGAATAAGGATAACATCTTATCTTCTGAAAGGGGCTTATTTCAGTCTTTTTTTATAATCGAAAACAGACCTAGCTTCTGCTGACCCTACCCCATCACATAATCTAAGCATGATACTTATCTGCTCGCAGAATTTACTTCTCTCCATATACATGATATCTCCCAAAAAGCCCTAGATCTTTATTTTGCCTATTGGGAACTTAAAATTTCTAGGTCCACAGCACGTGCTGGTCTTCCCTCTCCATAGCTGCAGAAGGCTAGAGGAGCCATTGCAGATGCTACCTGCCTCCAGCGTCTGGACAGGGTCTGGCTGGGACCAGCTTTGGAACCTTCTACATTGGGGTGGGAGGGGGAGCTGCCCTAGGACTTACAATGCAGCGACTGAAACCGATTAGCGGTTCTGCAGTGAGAATTATTTCCACCACTCCAACTATCCTTCCCCAAACATGAAGAACGGTTTTGAATTTTAAAAACTGGCAGGAACCCAAGAAACTGGAGTTATCTGGTGCTCAGAAACTCCCAATCAGTTTGACCACATTAACTGCTTCAAGATGAAAGTTTGTAACAAACATCAGTCACGGATATTGTAAGAGATACCCACTCTCCCTTGTCCGTTTTAGTCTCGTGTTATTTTAATCATCTTTAGTTTTAATACTCACAGTACAGCTGTTACGAAGGGCGTCAAATTTGCGCTGGATTTCATCTCTATGTGCCTAAAAGGTAAGAAGTCGATTATAAATTTTTCACAGCAGAGGGTACAATTCTACATGCTATGGGCCAAATGAAGAAAAGAGCAATTTACCGAGAAAGCCAAGAATGTTGTTGCAGCTGCCCAAACATCTGGTTTTCAAAGAACTAATTAATCAAGTCATGTCAAACATGAGAAGTTAAAGCTATAGGAATATATGATGCTGGGTTAGTAACAACGACTATTTAGACCACACAGGCACACCCTGTATACATACACTTAATGTTTATATGAATGCCTAGGGGCTTTGGAAGAAAAGGAAAAAAAAAATGAAAGGATGAAGTTTTTACTCTCCCCATTCTTAACCTTTCCCTCTTCCTTCCAGCTGACCCCTCGCTAGGCTACTCCCTGAGAGACACACACATGCATGCAAACACACACACACACACACACACACACACACACACACACACACACACACACACACACACACACCAGCCAGGACAAGCTAGGGATTTTTCTTCTTGTTAATCAAAAGCTGCTGAGATTCAGAAATCCCACATTGACCTTGCGGTAAATAGAAAGGCTTTCTCCAAGGCAGAGCTGCTCTCAAACAGCAGCATTTGTTCAGTTGACCTTCAAGGACTTGGTGAGCGTACATGCTATTCCATCCACTGTGGCACGACACAATATATATGGAGTTACCTTCCTTCAGTGGGGGAGGATGGAAAGTTAACAAGTGCATGATTACAAACAGTGACAAAGGCTCTGAAAGAAACAGGGTGCAGGAAAAAAGAATAAGGGGGATAGAAAGGAACTTACTTAGATGGGGTAGTCAAGGAGGGCTTCTCTGAAGAGGTGCCACTTTAACTGACACCTGTAGGATAATGGGGAGCCAGCCAGGCAAAGGACAGGAAAAGGCAGAGGGCACAAATCTTGAAGTGAGAAAATGTTTGGGGTATTTGATGAACAAAAAAAGGCCTGAATGGCTTTTTCAAACTTCAAGCTGCGACCCAATAGCGAGTATGACAAGTGTGTTGCTTTTCTGTTTTGGTTTATCCAATGAAATGGAATAAAAAAGAATAGACAACACTGGGATGTGCCCTTGGATAGTGAAGCACTGTCACAGAAAACTTCTGTTTCCAATACCATAATTCATTAAATTTAAGATGCTATCAACTGTAAGACATGGCAATTTTATGTACCATTAAGGAAAAAAAAAGGTGTTGTTGAATAAGCTATGACATGTTTATGTCCATGTGACTAGAGAGTCATATATCAGCTATGACTAAGCTGCATCCTGATTTTACATACTTTGGAATCAACGAAAGAATATATATATGCTCCCTTGTATTAGATTGTAGGGTAAATGTATTCTCGGTGGGTAGGGGTCAAACAATTTTTGGCTAAAGCACAGCAAGAGAAGGAAAATGTGGCCCAAGATTATGGTAGAGAGCCAGGCAGGGACCAAGTCACTTGAAGGCCCAGAAAGGAGTTTGGGTTTCATTCAAAATACCATTAATCAGAAGCCAAAGGAGATTTTAAAAAGTAAAGGGAAATGATCTGCTTGTCACTTTGTGGATGCTGTGGGAAGAACAGATAGAAATAGGAAACAGCACGGAAATAGAAATAGAAAGCAGCACGGAAACCAGAGGAGGCTGTTGCTGTCATTCAAGAAGGAGATGATGGTGGTCTGGAGTAGGATGGCGGCCAAGGCACAGAGAAGTGGATGGAAGTGAGTTCTCTTTTGGAAGCATAGGAAATAAGACTTGCTGCAGACATTGGAAAAGGAAGGGTCAAAGACACCCTGAAAGATCTTTGACTTGAGAGACAGGGTATCATTTGCTTAGCTATGAAACCTCAAAGAAGAATCTAATTTGGGACAAAGGCAAAAGTGGCCTTTCTCTTAAAAAAAATTAGTCTCCACCAGAAGGTCTATAAAAGAACTAAGTCAAAATTTTAGAGGTGTGGGGCACCTGAGTGGCTCAGTCAGTTAAGCATCGGACTTCAGTTCAGGTCATGATCTCGCATTCATGGGTTTGCCTTGTCAGGCTCTGTGCTGACAGCTCAGAACCTGGAGCCTGCTTCGGATTCTGTGTCTCCCTCTCTCTCTGCCCTTCCCCAGCTTGCACTCTCTCTCTCTGTCTCTTTTAGAACTTTGATGTATTCTCTAGTATGTCTACTTGCCATAAATTAATATTATAAATTTATAACAGCAGATAAACCATACCCACAGATGCAAAAAGTTCCAAGAACCCCAAGCACAAGAAACATGAAGAAAATTAAGCTACATCACCTCACTATCAAACTGCGTAAAATCAGTAATAAAGAGAAAAAGCTTAAAGCCAGTCACAGCAAAACACAAGTTACATACAGAGAAACGGAAGTCAGATTTCTCACCAAAAAGTGGGTAAAAAAACGGGGAGGGAAAGGGGGCTAAAGCAAGTTAGAAGTCAGTAGAACATCTTTAAAGCACTGAAAGGAAAAACAAACAAACAAAAAAACTCTTAAAATTTGTCAATCTAAATTATATACCCATCAAAAATATCCTTCAAAAATGAAGGTGAAATTAAAGACTTCTTCAGATATAGAAAAGCTGAAGGAATTTGCCACCTTCACTGTAAGAAATGGTAAAGGAAGTCCTTCAGGCAAAAGGAAAATGAAAACCAGAAATATAAATCTACACAAAAGATTGAAGAGCACTTGGAAAATGTTTTGTTTTTAGGTTGTACAGACTCACAGATTCATAAAAAGTTATCATTTGCAATCAACTCTCTAGGGGTACCTGGGTGGCTCAGTTGGTTAAGCATCAGACGAGCTCAGGTCATGATCTCATGGTTCATGGGCTCAAGCCCCACATTGGGCTCTGTGCTGACAGCTCAGAGCCTGGAGCCTGCTTCGGATTCTGTGTCTCTCTCTCTCTCTGCCCCTCCTCCACTCACACTCTGTCTCTCTGTGTCTCTCAAAAATGAATAAACGTTAAAAAAAAAAAAAAA